TTTTCGAATAGATAAGGCACATATATTCTGAATCAGCTCAACGAGCTCTATCCAACCATGTATAACTAATTCATCGAGAAAAAAGTTGTGCTCCTCCTTTCAACTACGGGCACCTTACATTATATTTTGTTGAGAAATAAAAATGTGAGATTTATGCTGGAAAACTTGATGATCAAAAATATCTTTTTTTAGTGATAAAAAACAAAAATGATACTCTACAAAATTAAATTGAAAATTTCATGTCTCTTTTTCGAGTTGAAAAAGGAAGAAAACGTTTCGCTCCGCTAAGATCCTGCCTCGCCAGTTTTTTAGATCAGCCACTAGCTCCATCTCCGAACAAGACAAATTTCCTTCGATTAGAGTTTTTCCTCTTGTTTTCTTCTACTCCGGTGCATCTCTGATAAGATTGTACAAGAATTATTTGAATAAATAAAATGATTATTTCTAGCATATATTTCCACCCAAACGTACATTCTTATTATTTGGCTGTATTTATGATGTTTCAATGATTGACAAAAGTTTTGGAAATACAACGATTTGTTTTGAATTGTCTATTGGTAAATTAATTGAGCAAAAAAAACAACAAAAATATATATAAAAATATGTTTAATTCTTTATTTAGGTAGTAGTGGTTATTTAAATCCACAACAATTAAATGCTTCACGTAATGTAATTGAAACTTTACAATCATTAACAAGACCCTATGCTCGTACACCATTAGATAATAATATTCATCATTATCGTTTACCAATTGATTTACAAAAACCGATTATGTGTACTCGATATGAATTTCATGATTATGCTTATAGAATGACAATTTCAAATAGATTTAAAAATGCAGCTGAAATTATGGTATGTAGAAATAGATCATCTATAAATTATATTTTTATATTTTGAATATCAATATATTTATTTAAAGAATAAAGGTATTCGTGAATTTGAATTAAAATTAGAATCAAATTCATCCATTGAAGAATTAGAAACAGAATATCGTAAATTAGTCCAATATTTAACATTATTACCATGTAATTGTAAGACAAAATCGGATAAATCAAAAAATGATGGTAGTGAAGATCAAACTCGACAATCTAGTAGCACTATGGGATCAATGAGATCAGCTAGTTCTGTAACTACGACTCATACAGTAATAGCAGAGACGGAACAAAAACGTTCGGTTCATCCGACTCTTTATGAAGTGTTAAATTTTGTTCCACCAACAATAAAATTGAATAAATTAGATAAACAACGAGGAAAAAAATTACTACATAATCTTGTACGTACATAATTTACTAGAAAACAAAACAAAATATAACATTAATAAAATAATTAAAACATTGTTCGTCTATTATTTTTTAGGAAAGTTTAAAAAGTTGGATTGTTAATGATGTTCATTTTGATTTAACAAATAAGAAACAAGAAATGGTTAAAGAATTAAGAAAAATAGCCAAAGCATTAGAACAATTGGCAATTAACGTATGCATTTTTAATTCGTATTTTCTTATATCTGTACAATCTTAAGAGAAAATCTTGTCAATTGATTCACTTCAATTTTACTCAAGCTTACTCTTTTAAAGGCCCCCCCCCCCCCTCAGAAATTATCTCGGACACCGTGCATCCGATCTTGACGAAACTTTCCATAAATGTTCGGCACAATT